ACTTTTTCAGGCAGGGTCGTCCTTTGTCCTTGAAGCATCATTGTCCTTGGAGCACCACACTAACCTCCAGTGGAGACTCCCAGGCAGAAGTGTCCCCAAGGATCATTTTGTACGTGTTCTGCATCCCCTCAATGACCTACCACTCTTCCAGTCTATCTGTTCATCAACTCCCCATTCAGCCAACCACCTGGGTCACAAAGATAAATCAAGACATGATATCTGCCCTCAAGTTATTACCATAGAGAGCCCAACAATACATAAATACCTAAAATGCAGTAACTGCCATAAGAAAGGCATGAATAAAGAGCTAAGGAAAGACACATGCAGAAGCAACTAATTCTTCCTGGGAGTCATGGAAAGCAAAAGAGATACGACAATATAAGTGGCACTCTACAGCATATGCTGGAGTTTGCAAAGTAGACAGGAAACGGCAGCACAACCCAAGCCATGGGAAGAGCATGAAGTGTGCAGGTACACAGACATCTGGATGGACAGTGCTACTTGTCAAGGCAGAAAAGATAGGGCTAGGTTAGGAAAGGCCTTGCTGGCAGTGAGGACTGTGAAGGTTCTCTAAGAAGCAATGGGAGTTTTCTAGAAGGGTATGTTCCCAGGTCAGATTTGTGTTAGGAACAGAATTCCAATGGAACTGTGGAGCCCTTTATGGGTTTAGGAGACTTAACTGACAATTCAGGAAACTTCTAGGGAGAAGTTGTTGTATTATATAGTACACATTCCATCCTCATGTTATGGCTGCCTGATCTCTCTCCCCCTCCTACCTAGGCTCCTCCACCCTGGAAAGGTCTAATTTTTTAAAATTGAGATATAATTGACATATAACATTATATTAGTTTCAGGTATACAACATAATGATATTTGCATATACTGCAAAATGATCACCACAAAAAGTCTAGTTAACATCCATTGCCGGACTTGAGGACACGGGGAGGGGGAAGGGTAAGCTGGGACAAAGTGAGAGAGTGGCATGGACATATATACACTGCCAAATGTAAAAGAGATAGCTAGTGGGAAGCAGCTGCATAGCACAGGGAGATCAGCTCGGTGCTTTGTGACCACCTAGAGGGGTGGGACAGGGAGGGTGGGAGGGAGATGCAAGAGGGAGGAGATATGGGGATACATGTATATGTGTAGCTGATTCACTGTGTTATACAGCAGAACCTAACACACCACTGTAAAGCAATTATACTCCAATAAAGATGTTAAAAAAAAATCCATTGCCATACATAGTTACAAACTTTTTTCCTTGTGATGAGAACTTTTAAAATCTATTCCCTTAGCTTCCAAATATACAGCATAGTAATATTAACTATAGTCACCATGCTGTACATTATATCCTCATGACCAATTTTGTAAGTGGAAATTCGCATCTTTTGATCCCCTTCATCCATTTCACACTCCCCCCATCCCTTGCCTTAGAGAACCAATATGTTCTCTAAATCTATGAGCTTAGTTTTTTGGGGGGTTTTAGTTTGTTTAAGATTCCATATATATGTGAGATCATATGGTATGTGTCTTTCTCTGTCTTTTTTCACTCAGCATAATATCCTCAAGGTCCATCCATGTTGTCACAAATAGCAAGATTTTATACTTTATGGCCAAATAATATTCCATTGTGTGTGTGTGTGTGTGTGTGTGTGTGTGTGTGTGTGTGTATATATGGCATATTTTCTTTATCCACCTACAGTGCACAATGGTTCCCTTTTCTCCACATCCTCGCTAACACCTGTTATTTCTTGTCTTTTTGATGACAGCCATTCTGACAGGTGGGAGGTGATACCTCACTGTGATTTTGATTTGCATTTCTCTGAAAATTTATGGTCTTGAGAATCTCTTCATGTACCTCTTGGCCATCTGTATGTCTTCTTCGGAAAAATGTCTATTCAGAACCTCTGCATATTTTTATTTGGATTATTTGGGTTTTTTGCTATTGACTTGTATGAGTTCTTCACATATTTTGGATACTAACACTTTACCAGACATATGACTTGGAAATACTTTCTCCCATTCAGTAAGTTGCCTTTTCATTCTGTTGGAAAGATACAAATTCTCAACCCTCTATTATGTGAAGTTGCTTCTCCACTTCTCAGAAGTCTTGCCCCCAGCCAACACTAAAGCCTATAAGGGCTAATTTCTAGGCTACATAACTATCAAAGCATTTTTCTGAATAATTGCAGTTATTTTTGTTATGAGAAATTCTGCCACCAGCTGTTAAAGGTAATATAAATTTCTTTATCTCATCACACACATCTACCATATCAACAACATTCTAAATATTTTATGCATAGTGGTTTTCATGAAGCACAATTATGCTTGAGAAATACAAGGCAGAATTCCCAAAGTTACTTCAGCAATTCAACAAGGTGAAAATAACTACATGACACTGTGTTGAACTTGTTTTAAAAAAAGGTTTATTTGTTACAAAAATGTTAAATACTAAAACTAAAAACATATAAATTCAGGTCAGGCTATATTAAAATACACACATACCCTTCTTTGCAAAATTATTAAAGATTGAATTAAACAGATGCCTTAAATTAAATAAAATACTCTTGAGGATGTTTTTGTCTAATTAGCTGTATCAGTGTAGTGTAGTTTTTAAAACTACAGTTGAAAAGTTCAGCTGTCTTGGAAGTCAAATTTATCCAATCCTTCAGTTTCTGCTTCTGCCCAATATGAAGCCATCATGCTGGCTTAGAAAGGGCGAATTTCAGCTATGTTACAGAACCTTCTATATTATAAGCCTACTCTCTACAATATGAACACAGAGTAGTCAGAATTATACAAGGGTTATATAAGGTGAAAACCTGGCCCAGAAAGAAAAAGCCTTAGTTCTACCATACAGTATCTTCTCTAATTAAAATGATTGGTAAATATATTGAAGCAGAGATCAGCACAAAGCATACATTCATCTAGAAATAATCTTTCAATTAGAAAAACTCAAAAAGAGCACTCATTTCTCCAAGACAGTCTGTAAGGTTTTTTCTAAAAAAAAACTCCTGTTATTTTAAATTGAGTTAATTCAAAGGTATTGAAGAGTCTAGTCTAATTTGACTACTGTTCTGACTAGCCCAGGAGAGCTGTGACATCGGGGTGTTTGAGTTACTCACAGGTGGAAAAGAACTTTCATAATAAAAACTACATGCACAGCACCAGCAGAGCACCAGCTCCCAAACCCAACTTCCACTTTTGTCCAACAACCTAGAAACTATCTATGGTCTACTGAAATGTTAAATAGTATTTTCAAGAAAATATTTTGCTTTAGAACTTATATTTTTTTATTTCCTAGATTAAAAGTTAAGACTGACTTAGAATTTTAAGTGCTGTAATTAATGCAGGGCTAAGAAAATGCTTATGAAAAGCAAAAGGCTATCACTGTATTTTAAAAGGCCTTAAATGTGAATGAATTTCTAAAAATCTACTACAGTATCTATTCTTTCCAATGCTAATCTTTGTCAAGTGGAATTTGTCAATAGTTGATTAGCTCAAGTGAGTTAAATACAAAAAATAAAAAATGCATTCCAGTAATATTTATCAACACAATCCAATTAAAGTCAGGTTTCTTGTAAGATATTTGTAGGGGATTTTTACTGTTTTACTCTGACAGTGTTGGTATACATCCAAGGACTAACTGTACAGTATTGTGTCTATACTATGGTATAAAACTGTTTAATCAAACCTTTGAACAGTTGGAAAAACTATGTGTATTCTAAAGTCACTGGAAATTAAAAGAAAAATATATTCCAATACTGAATTACAGATGAATATGATGCTAACAACAAACAGTAATCTGGTTTTCCATCTCTCAGCTTGTGAGCTTCTGATGTAACTGTTTCTGTTGACATGTGATACAAGAGAAACTATAGTTTTGTCCTCTATCTTAGGACCATTTTCTCTACATGTAACAAGTCTTGATTTATATCCTTTCTCTGAACTTATTAGATAATCTTGAAGGACAAGATTCATGCTATTCCTCATCAAATACCCTTTCAGTCCTCAGAAAGAATTCACAAAATTCAAGACACTGACATCCTAATCTTAGTAAATACACTGAAAGAAGAAAAACTCTTGAGCCTTTGATTGCAAATTCTCTAGAAAGCGTCTCTTCCTATGAGCATTTTTATAAGTGCACATTAAAGTCACACTGGTCAGTCACTTTTACCAACATCCTGGTCTTAGAGAATGATCAAGAAAGTATTCTTCTGTGTAGTGCCAGAATTGTGAGTGTTACAAAGTGAAACCAACATGATGCATTTCTCACTTGCCAGCGGAGGTGGCAGAGGAGGGAGGCCATAGGTGGTACAGACTTTCCCATGGGGGGAACCCCATGTGATCTCTTCCCTCAGCAAGCTTCCTTCTCTTTCCTTGATGTCAGTGCCTCTTTTCTGCTTTCAGAGATAGTAACGTTTGAGCAAGAAAACATACCCTGCTAGGAGATATGCATAATCTGGGGGGCCCAGTACAGAGTGAAAATGCAGGGCCCTTCTTCAAATTTTAAGACGGCGATCGCAGGGCACTGAACCGAGCATGGGGCCCTTCTAAGCAGGAGGCCTTGTGTAAGCACACGGGTTACATGGCCACAAAGCCAGTCCTCTATAGATTTCTTGCCTAATCAGAATCCCAGGGGAGAGACAAGGTAGCTCACTGTTCAGATAAAAACCAGATTTTTTTTTCCATTATGGTTCAAACACTGTCACTGATTTGGAATGAAGTGGCATTTCACTTTCAAAATCCTAGGCAAATTTCTATTCCTAAGCTCTCAGCCTGATCAGTCTTCTCCTAGATTTCTCACTATAGAAACAGTCATACTGGGTCTTTAAAAAAGGCCCCTATTTTAATAGAGCAATTAATCAGACATGATGAAATTTCTGTATTAATCCTACATGATTTTTTAAAAATTTAAACATTTCTTAAATGGAAGGGATATTAATATCACTAAACCAATAGGGCATCTTAAAGGGAAAAATAGCTGTACACAGCCTTATATACTCGGGTGAAGTCTTAATTTTAGCCTATGGTATATTTTGTTCCCTTTTAAGATCATAATAGTAGTTTTTTTCAATAAGAACTAATAAGCATATTAAGCTGTATGGTGATTTTTTTTTAACTCCCATACTGGTTGCAGCCACAAGAATTTTCCTAGAACCCAGAAGTACCCCATTCTTCATAATAACAAGAAAAAGTGTGTGTATATAAAAACTCCAGGGTTACATTACTAAGCAACGACATTTCTGGGAGTGAATATACTTCCTGTATTCCGCAAGCTGCTTCAAGTACATATTTGATGGCCATCTGTGCTTTTCAACAAAACTGCGTTCTTCCACTAGAAGTTTCAGAAAAAGAATATTAATTGAATATATTTTATTTGAGATCAAGTTTCGATATTAACTATTGGTTTCCTATGTAATAGGTGAGATCCAAGCTCTGCTGTACACTTCCTCCCCTCCCCTCAATCAGTCATCAGTATTTATGTTATTCTGTGATTCACAGTTATGTACTGTTTTAGTTTTTGTCCTTTTGTTTTCTTTGTAGCTAACTCAACCTTCCAAACTCTTTGAAGTCCTCTCAATTCTGTTTTCCACGGGGCTACAGTTATCAGAGGATCTAGCCATTCCCATGGGGGTGGTGATGGTGTTGCCCTGGAGACCCCTCTCTTCAGAGCCCTGTACCCTCTTGCCTTCTATGCCTGCTTCATGCTTTTGCATTTGATCCCTCCACTCCCAGACTCCAGATTCTTCACTCTGTTTTCTCTAGTTTGGGTGAAGTACAACTTTTATTAGCTTCCTGAAGCAGAGTATATGCATAAGAAGTATTTTTGAGACCTTGCTTGTGATGAAACGTCTTTAATCTGTCCTTACACCCAATAGATCAATTGGTTTGGTATGGAATTCTAGGTTGAAAATTTTCCCTCCGTATGTTGAAGACAGTACTCCACCGCTTTCTAGTTTCCAAGGCTGTTAAGAACTCTACCACCATTCAGATTCATGGTCGCTGATAAAGTGATCTCTGGGTTTTTTTATTCTGTAAACGTTTAGATTTTTCTATTTATAGTCGGTGTTCCTGCACGTCCCAGTGATAGACCTTGTTATTCATTAAGCTGAGCACTTAGCAGAGCCTTTTAATCTGTTGACTCAGTTCCTCAGTACTGGGATAACTTCTTGTATTATTTCTTTGATAATTTCCTCCTCAGCATTGTTTTTCTTTTTTCTTCCTGTATTAACTTCTGTTACTGGGATACTTCACCTCCTGCATTGAGCCTCCAACTTTTTTAAAAAACCTTTTTCTGTCTCTTCATCCTTTTTGTCCTACTTTCTAGATTTCCTTACCTTTATCTTTCTACTCTTTTATTTATTTAGTTGTTTGTTTTTTTTGTTATGGTTTCATTTTTGCTATCCTAATTTTCAAGAGCAACTTCTTGTTCTTTTATTGTTTTTTTTAAATTATGGTAAAATACACATAATATAAAATTTACCATCTTAACTAATTTTTTTTGTTTTTCCATCTTAACTATGTTTTTTTCATCTTAACTTTTTTTTTTTTTTTTTTTTTTGCGGTACGCGGGCCTCTCTGTCGTGGCCCCTCCCACTGCAGAGCACAGGCTCCGGAGGCGCAGGCCCAGCAGTCATGGCTCACGGGCCCAGCCGCTCCGTGGCATGTGGGATCTTCCCGGACCGAGGCACGAACCCGTGTCCCCTGTATCAGCAGGCGGACCCTCAACCACTGCGCCACCAGGGAAGCCCCCATCTTAACTATTTTTAAGTGTATAGTTCAGTAGTGTTAAGTACATTCACATTGTTGTCAACCAATCTCCAGAACTCTTTTCATCATGCAAAACTAAAACTCTATACCCATCAAACAACTCCATTTCCCCTTTCCCCAAGTCCCAGCAACCACCATTCTATATACTCTGTCTCTATGAATATTGTTTCTTTTTTATAACATTCTATCCCTGTTTTATGAATGTATATCTCTTATTCTTTGAAGATATTAATTATAGGGTTTTTTTTTAAGGTTTTCTTCTACTCTTTGTTCTTGTAAGTTCCTTCTCTTCTGTTTTTATTCATTTTGTTTTGTTTTTGGTATTCATCTTGCACATTGGACACTGCCTCAAATATCTGTTGACCCTCAGTTGGCCTCTTTATATTTAAGAGTGAGATGCTAGAAAGCTGTTTGGAAATCTTTTGGGCATGGGCAGGACTTGCTGACTGGTGGAATACACGGTAGCACAACTGAACAGATATCCACTGGGTTAACTGAGAGAATTCTCAAATGACTCCACCTACTGTTTTTTATGTGAGGTCAGGGAAGGATGCTTCAATTTCATGCCCAGAGTATGAGTGTCAAAGTGGTAGTCAAAGTGGGAGTCAAATACCTGGCTGCCAGAATTCCAGAACCTGGATATGGGAAGAAGGCTGGAGGTTTACTATATAATGTGACACTTTCACATGATCTCTATGTTTTCAGTCCAGGTCCTTGCCCCAATCTCAGCTATACTCTGAGTTTATGATTGTATAACTTTTTTGGTTTAACTTATCCAGGAATAAACCTCCAAACTCCTGTGATGATGAGGGAGAAGCACTTGCCTGCCTGGGCGGGATGGAGTGTAGCAAAAGCATTCAACTAATCCTATGGCTTTCGGCCCCAAGCCTCAACCTGCTTTCTGAAATACCAGGTACCTCAAATTTCTAAGGCTTTACAGTATTCTGCTGGGTGAATCAGTTTGTTTCTCATCAATATTCCCTTCTGTGGGCACTTAGGTTTGCTTCTGCTAAGTCGGTTTTCACTTCTCCATCTACTGTTTGACCCCATCTATTATAATTTGTATTAACAAGGTCTTGATCCAGGCTGCAGGGCCTGGATCAGAAGAAACAACATAGCTGCCCAGGGAAATTAGTTGTAGGTTTCATTAGGGAGCAAAGGTGACATAAGGCTGCTTCCTCAGTTAAGATTAAAAAAAACAAAAGCAAAAAAACAGAGAAAACTTGTCAGAGATGAGCTCTGGTAGCCAGCAAAAATCAAAACGAGACAAAAAACTCCATAATATATAATATATAACATAATATTGAGATAAATTAAACTGTGAGAATAATGAATCCATAAATGCCAAGGGTAACATATTCCTGTGCACTGCTGTTTGTTTTCGTATAAGAGTCCAGTATATAAAATATGCCTAGCATTTAATGAACTATTTCACTGAGTTCTGATGTATCGGTGCCAGCATTAACCTGAGATTTTTTCAGTCTCACTTTTAAATTTCTAAACACCTCTAAAGAAGAAAAATCCCCAGTTAAGGGAAAACATTTCATAGAATTCCAATAATAAGTTGATGATTTTTGAAGTTGAAAATGAGCAATTCTTTAAGGAAACTGTAAAGAGACTGTGACAAGAACCCTTTTCAATTTCAAGTGACCATGTAGGGTAGGCCAAGAGTCGGGCAACAGGGAAGAGAGGAGACTACAGCACCGTGGAGAGGACACGCGCCTTTAAATGAGTAGCCACTGCTCAGTTCCAGGTTGTTGCCATGTGGGAAGATGGGGGCCCAGAGAAGCCACATCTTCCAACTTTGTCAAAAGAAGCCAGAAATTTGGATTTTCAAATGTGACATGTTACAATTTTTAATACTGACACTAAAAAAATTATAATACCATGTGGTCCAAATAAAATCCCTTAGCAAGTTACATTCAACCCACAGACTGACAGTTTATGAATGCTGATAATAGACTATCAAATCCTCCCTTATCCACAGGGGCTTTCTTTTTCTCTGCCCAAAAGGACACATCACAGCAGGTCCTGGACATGAACAAGCACCGCTAAATCAGAGCACTCAGGATACTGTTTTAATTCCCATCAAGACAATCACTGACACAGCCTCATTTTCTTACCCTGCCTGCTCAACTTACACCCTGGAGTCCTGCTTCTCACTGTGCCAGGTGGTGGTCATAACATACTTTATAGGCAATTGTGTAAGTATCAGAATAAAATAAAGATTAATAACTCAAAGGATTCAGAGAGCATCCTTCCCCCAAGGTTGTAATAGTACTCTATGTGTATCACATATCTACACAAAATAGTAAGTAGAAAATCAGTGTTTTACCAATGAAGGTGACCTCAGGTGGCATAATAAAGGGGGTCCTAAAATCAAAATGTTCATTTATTTCATTTTTAATTGCCTCCTTAAAGAATAACTGTGGAAGAATGCCCCTACTAACTAACAGCAAGGGGAAGTATGCCTTATGTTTATGAATGAACTTTGTTTCTTGCACAAAGTAAATGGTTAGTAAATATCTATTGTCCTGCTATGATTTATTATGTTACTCTTCTGCACTAATAGTTAAACTCTATGTAAACAGCCTCCCAACAGGCATACAATGTTTGTTGACTGGCTGAATACATCTGCCAAAAACTGACTGTCTGTTTCTTGGTTTCCTTAAATATGCAATGAACAGCTGAATGAAACCAGAGATGCTCACCTCTTCTAGCAGCAGATTCTCTTTTACAAGCAAAATTTTACATAGAATTCTAAGATCTCAGCAGACCAAAGTGGAAGCACTCTGGCTGAAGGTGGGAGGGAGGAGTCCAAGAACAGCGAGCGCTAGCCTCTCCCCCCATCTCCCTCTTCTGCGCCACCCACCTCGCTCTCTGCCCCCACCTCACAAGAACTGCGGGCATCATCGCCAAGGAGGTTTCTCCACTTAGACTTTGAAACTACCTGACTAGGAGATCTTTAATTTCCTTCTCCCCTTATCTTGATTATTCCTTGGGTCTATTCTAGGCAATAACATAAGCAAACCATTGTATCTAAACTGTCTACTTTGATGACTATTCTATTTTCATTTTCTTTCATCTTATGCAGCACTCAGAAGCTCACCCTTTGATTGGTTTTAATCTTTATAATTTACCTTAAAAAATCACATTAAGTATACTCTCTGCTCAGTAAATTTTGCACCACTCTTTGATCAATAAAAAATTGTTATTGTCGAATGATATAATGGACTCCTGTAGAGACAGGAGATACCAGTACAACAGAACTATATACTGGGGATAATTTTTTCTTTTTAAGAAGAAAATTTAAAAAGCTGTACTATTTAAATTTTGCTTCTGACTTAGGTGGTTAAAACCAAATCTCATTTATCACAACCAAATGTCACGTGAGGCCCCCTTCTCTCTCTGCTTCAGAAAAAAAATGCACTTAAAAATGGATGGGAGCTATGAAACAATCATTAGGAAACTTCTTGTGTAACACAGGTCAAGCTTCTTATGAAACACCGGTTACTATAAGTGTCCTCAATTACCACACTGCATACTTAAAAGGAATGTCTTACACTGACTTTTTATTTTTAAAACTACTATTCCTACAAATTATGTCTCAAATCTAAGAACAAAGAACGTAAAGGTTTTTTGTTCCAGAAACATTAATTAGCAATCTACCTGAAAGATCCTGAAATTCAGGCTTCTGACTGAAGATGAGGTAGTTAGTGGCAATGAAATGAAGCAGCCAGGTTGAGAGGCAATCAGAGTGGTGAAACTGCAAGAAAAATGGAAAGTGAAACAATATTGTACATAATGACCATCAACATGATGATTAGATCGAGAGAATGGTCCAGGAGAACTCATGGAGGGCCCAATTCCACGTTTAATGTGTCTGTATATGATTCAGCCTTCAGTCTACTCTTACAGCAGAAAGGAAAAGGGAGCATTATTAACAAATAATAATAAAACCACATCAATGAAGAAACCAAATCAAATGAAGAACAAGCTACGGCTGCTATAGTGGCCGAATGTCTTTAAGCAGATGCATGGTTGCATCTGTGGGTAACAAAGACTACTAGAGGTTCTTGAGGACTTTCATTTAAGCTTTTCATCTAAGGTCATGGCCTTCACTAACTGCACTTATATCTGTGTAGCAGAGAGAAGATTGTGGTTAGCAAAGGTATACATCTGGCCATATCTCAACAAATTCACCTGCAGAGAAAACCAAAGAATATTTTGAGGAGGAAATGTCATCCATCTAAAGGTATGGGTTTCCACATGTAATTATTTCTATGAGAAGGTTATGTCTGAATAATTGCTTTTAACTGGGATGTACTGTTACACTGAGCAGGATTTCCAGCACATTTATCATCCATCCTGAATTCCAATAGCTAATGGAAGGGAAACTCAGAAACTTGGCCATGACATCATTACCTTGGTGCCAACCCAGTGATACTCACTAATCCATCTAACCACGCAATTCAGATTACAGTAGCATGCTGCCAGGCAACTTAGGAACATGAGTATAGTTCTTTTATTATTACTGTGGTAAAATATACATAACATAAAACTTACCATTTTAACCATCTTCACGTGTACAGTTAAACAATAACTCCCCTTTCCTCCTACTCCCAGGCTCTGGTAACCACTATTCTATTTTCTATGGATTTGGCTATTCCAGGTACCTCATATAAGTTATACAAGTTATACAAAATTATACAATGTTTGTCCTTTTTCTGACTGGTTTATTTTACTTAGCATAAGGTTCATTCATGCTGCACCATGCGTTAAAATTCCATTCCTTTGTAAGGCCGAGTAATATTCCATTGTATATATATACCACATTTTGTTTATTCATTCATCTGTTGATGGGCATTTAGGTTGTTTCCACCTTTAGGCTAAATATAGCTCTTTTAAGGACACTCAAAAATAGTATATAAGCAATAAGTAATGCTAAATTGAAGACAGATTTGTAATCTCAAGAATGAAATTCAAGTATCACTCTTTTTAAAAGTTATAATGCGTGAATATTTTACATATAAATTCACAGGTCCCTCTGATTTTAATTATACAAACTCAATTTTTGAATTGTAAGAGACGTCATGGTTCATCTAATACCACATCACATATTAACAATCTTTCTTCACTTAATGTTTTAGCAGATGAATATGAGTGATCTCAAGGGAATACAGCAAGAATGTGGAGCTATTTTAACAGAAGCCACCAGCACTACTAGATGGTTAACCCAGAGGAGAAAACCTACCAACAGACGTTCAGAACACTGCCTAAGGGCTGTGACTTTGAAAGAGAGGGAGACCACAGAAATGAATAGCTGGCTATAAAAAACATGGTTCAAATGCAGAATTTTATTTTTGAATAAGATTTAAGATTTCATAATTGTGGGCTCCTGGCAAGAGATGGAATGCATCCCACTGGAAAAACTACATTTTTGGAAGAATATGTGCTGATTTGAGAAGACAGTTTAAACTGAAATAAACAACAGCATTTTAAAAAGAGATTTAAAAAAATACCATAAACCAAATGTGACAGTATTTAACAGCCCTGTGAAGAATAATAATGGTGGAAAAAGTACCCCAAAACTCACAAGGAAAAGGTCAGAAACAAAACTGGTGGCCTGAAGAAGCCAAATATTAAATGCACAGATTATAAGCAAGAATTTGTGTTTAAAACTTTAATATGAGAGTAAACAGGACTTCATAGGAATCACCAAAGTTTGCCAAGATAAGGTTTAAAGGGGAGGAGGAATAAGGAAATCTCTACCTCAATCCAAAGGAACGGATCCGATTAAGGGAAAAAAGCCTCTGTTGCGTGTTAAGATTTCAACGTGATGGAAACATATGAACCTGAAGGTAGAATCATGGTAAAGAGCTGAGAGAGGTTAAAGGAGAGTTCCAGCCCATCTGTATCAAAACTGCTTATTTGTATCAAAAGTATGAATGATGCTTTCCTGATACACAATACAAAACTGGCAGAGATGATAGAGGGATTGGAAATTTCAATTATTCAGAGAGCTACTGGAAATCTAATTCTGCCAAAAGACAATTTCACCTCCTAGAAGTCAGAGAAGCAATGAGGGAAAGGTTAACTAAAGTTTGACCAACAGATGAACTGGTTGGCGAAGTTGAACCTCAACCTAAGAACTTCAGACAGGAAGAAAATTATCCTGTTTCTGTGATTCATAATTGGCAAATTAGGGACCACCAGGAATAGACTAAAGGAAAACCGGTAAAGGTAGGCTTAATCTTAGCAAACAGAAAAGTCTTCAGAAATAAATAGTAAAATTCAAGAAAAGTTGGTATCTTAGACTTTTAAAATTCAAAGGGAAAAAGAAGGATAATCACATAGTCAGAAACCACACATTCAGGGAATACAGGTCAGGAAGAATTTCTGACAATACAATCATAAATGATGCTAATGAGGAACTGTGTGTGCGCCTGTGTGTGTGTGTGTGCTGTGTGTCTGTGTGTGTGTGTGTTTGGGGGGGCACTTGAAATCAGTGCAACCAAGTAGGAAGTTCTCTTATGCGTGAACTATGTAAAAGGATACTACATGATAAGGAAAGAAAAGCTTGTGCCCATTTTTTAAAAGTATGACAGACTTGTTAGAATGTACGAAAATGATACATCAAAAATGCAGGAGGGACTTCCCTGGTGGTGCCGTGGTTAAGAATCCACCTGCCAATGCAGGGGACACGGGTTCAATCCCTGGTCCAGGAAGATCCCACATGCCATGGAGCAAGCCTGTGCACGACAACTACTGAGCTTGTGCTCTAGAGCCCACGAGCCACAACTACTGAAGCCCGTGTGCTGCAACTACTGAAGCCCACATGCCTAGAGCTCATGTTCCACGAGAAGCCTGCGTACTGCAACAAAGACCCAATGTGGCCAAAAAAAAAAAAAAAAGGAGGTTGTAAAAATGTGAGAAAAAATAAACAGAATTTTAAAATCTAGAGAATAGCTATTAATCCCAAGCTCAATGTAATTATATTACAAAGAGAGATGAAGGTTACTCATTTTTTGAAATTTTTTTCCCCTAATATTCAATACATATGATCTGAAGACTTGATTATGAGAGAAATGAACTCCAAAATAGTTATGGAGATAATAAGAGAAGACCTAGGTGCTTTAAATGAATTCCCTTCCATTGTGAGCAACAGACATATTGATTAATAAATTCATCTCAGCGTGGAGGCAAGCTTTTAGCTGTCACAGAGTCAGTCCTTTGCCCCATTACGTGGCTCTATTTTAGAAACTTGGGTGAAGACAAATTTGTCATATTTTCCTAATTCTGGATGTCAAAGTTCATAGGGACAGTCAATATGTTGTACGCCAGATAATATTTTGCAAAGTCCTGATCGTCCGTAACAATGGATCAAATATATTCCTAAGAAAAAGACTTCAGCTTAATGCAAGTTCAGTACCCCTCACTGTGCCATGACTGCTGCAACCCTACAACTGTCTTAGGGCAGGCGCTGGAATGGTAGGATAACTCCTCGTACAATGAGACATTTCAACAAAAGGTGTTTGAAAGAATTGATGAAGTACACCAATACCTCCTACAAACAACCAGAACTTTAAAACATGCTCGTGAAGTGAATGAATGAACGGATGAATGAACGAACGAACAAATAAATGAGTTCTGCATAACCATCTCTATCAGTATTTATGGACCAATCCTGTCATCTTCCGTTCAGGGACCCTAAGATGTGATCATTTGAGGGAAATTCAATGTAAATTCTGTTTTCTATAATGCCTATACAAAATAATACAGCACCACACTCAACTGACACTAATAAGGGCCACCATTCAGTTGAAAAAATTCTGTATTGATAAATCCTACCTCCTTAGAAAGGGATTGCTCAAAAACACTATGCTTCAAAATTATCTAGCTGCAGAAATTGTTGTGAGGGCACATTTAGCCAAATTTCCAAAGTACGACGAGCACTAATATATCTCTTAATGAACAGAAAAAATGAGTGAAGTAATAAAATTTTTGTAATATTTAAAAAAAAAATCAAACAACCAGATACATAGGGCCAATTACCTTGGCTTTTTTGAGCAGGTCAACTATATCAAGGTTCATAGATGCCAGTTCCCGGCTCGGCATGCTTTGCAGCTGTGTAATGATGAACAGCTCACAGATGTGCTGCAGCCTGGACACTTGGTACATCTCTGCACAGATCAGGAGACACATAGCCTGGAAAATGCCAGCTGACACAAGAAGGGAAATAAGAGAAAATGGACCATAAAACCATTTCTTTTATGACCTAAAAACAAAACAACAACAAAAAAACAAAAACCAAAAAATGCTGACTATATCATCCAATGTAGAATAGAATGCCTAAAAAAGACATGAAGGGGTAAGTCAGCAATCTAAACTATTATTCCATTTTAAAAGGAATTCATTCAAGCCTTCACACACAGAAGTGAATCTGTTGCTGTTGTTTTTAATTCTCCAGAGAAAGAGATTCTACAATTGCCCTTAATAATCAACTCCAGGGCTACTGGGTAATTCTGTCTGCTAGCTATACTAAATCCTTGCAATTTTTCTTCTTCTGGCTTTAGTCCCCAGGTTTGTTTGTTTTGTTTTTATTGTGGTAAAATAAACACAACATAAAATTTACCATTAATTGTTTTTTTAATTTATTTTTTGGCTGCATCGGGTCTTTGTTGCAGCATGCAGGATCTTTTGCTGTGGTGCGCAGGCTTCTCTCTAGTGGTAGCGTGTGGGTTCTCTCTCTCTAGTTGTGGCGCACAGGCTCCAGGGCACGTGGGCCCTGTCGTTTGCGGCATGCAGGCTCTCTAGTTGAGGTGCGGGATTTAGTTGCCCCACGGCCTGTGGGATCTTAGTTCCCCGACCAGGGAATCCAAGCTGCGTCCCCTGCATTGGAAGGTGGATTCTTTACCAGTGGACCACCAGGGAAGTCCCTAGCATTAATCAGTTTTAAGTGTAAAGTTTAGTGGCATTAAGTACATTCACGTTGTTGTGTAACCATCACCACTACCTTCTCCAAAACTTTTTTCATCTTCCCCAACTGAAACTCTGCACTCATTAAGCACTAACTCCCCACTTCCCCTTTCCCTCAACCCCTGGCAGTCACCAAGGTTTTCTTGTTTGTTTTTTTAACACTTCTCTGTAATTCTTTCTTGTCCCTCTTTAAACTCCTTACATTCTTTGTAGCTAGGAACCAAGAAGAGCATGTTTGATAACTATTTATCATAATGAATAGATTATTTTTCTTTCTGCAATTTTCCCAGTGCAAATTTTCCAGTATCCAGCTTAATTTTTTGATTATTCATTTTGACTCATTTCCCCCCACACACACACTTTCACCTTTTACAAATTTTTAAAGTGTTTTGTCTTATAGTTATTATTGCTTTTCTGAGCATTTTTTCTAATTAGTAAGATAAAACTTAAAATCCAAAGCTTCAATTTCTCTAGTGAGAGGATGATTAAGAAACCAAATTTCCTTAATATTTCAAAACTGGTCAAATTTTTAAATTTAATATATAAATTTGCCCATACTGAAAAAATAAAATACACAATAACACACATTCTGATGAGAATCAATGATGTCCTTTTTTTTTTTTTTTTTTTTTTGGCTGCGTTGGGTCTTCGTCGCTGTGCGTGGGCTTTCTCTAGTTGCAGCGAGCGGGGACTACCCTTCGCTGTGGTGCGCGGTCTTCTCATGGCAGCGGCTTCTCTTGTTGCAGAGCACAGGCTCTAGGCGCGTGGGCTTCAGCAGTTGCGGCATGCGGGCTCAGTAGTTGTGGCACGTGGGCCCTAGAGCACGCAGACTTTAGTAGTTGTGGCACACGGGCTCTAGGGTGCGTGGGCTCAGTAGCTGTGGCTCGTGGGCTGTAGGGTGCAGGCTCAGTAGTTGTGGCGCACGGGCTTAGCTGCTCTGCGGCATGTGGGATCTTCCCGGACCAGGGCTTGAACCCATGTCCCCTGCATTGGCAGGCGGATTCTTAACCACCACGCCACCAGGGAAGTCCAATGGTTTCATTTTTATTAAACAGAAGTGATAAGCCAGTCTTTAACCCTGATTTTGTAACTGGCTCCAAAATACTCTATAGAAAGCTGCAAGACCATAATTAATTCAATTAAAAGAATGTTCTGTTCTGGAACTTCTAAAACTTTTCACTAGAGGGCTCATGACTTGTTTAAAACTTACGAGATTTCAATAACGAACACTGGAGATCTTCCAAATCTAAAATTAAAGCAGTAAACCTGAAGAGAGGTATGGTCTGAAATGTGTATTTTCTTGGCCAGGTTCTGTAACCAAGGTCTCAGGCTCCTGGACTAAGCCACCACGGGCTTATTCTAGTTGTGTTTGTGGTGGGAGCCATCTGGTGGCCAAAAGCCAAAGACTAATTAAAATGGGCTTCCACGCCTGCATCCCAAGGCTCCAGGCCTGTTGAAAGGATTCTGCAATTTCTCCAAAGTGCCTCCAGCTACAGGAAACCTGCAAGGTCTGTTCCAACCTGAAGCTGCCATAGACAGTTCCTAGTTAACGGTGAGCAGGAAAGTAAATCCTACAGTCTGCTGTGCATTCGAAACCACTTAGGAAAAGTTTTTGGATAAGTCAGCTTTCGGAGAGTCTGACTCTAGGAGGAGTCAGGAAAAGTCAGACTTTTTAGGTTTTTAAATAAAAGTCAGAAAAAGGCCATCCTCTGGGCCAGAGAGATGACCAAAGGAGTCTCAGAATATTGGAATTCCTTAAAGTGCCTCAAACAGAAGTCAAAGCCATAAGAGCAGCTGCCCAGCCCTTTTCTCCTCATGAAAGGGACAGTGTTCTAAGGAGCTCTCTGCTCCAGTGGATAGAAGCAGCCACTGGGTACCACAAAACACCTCCGTTTCCAGGGTGCCTACAGCGATCAGCATGGTGCTGGTGCTGGCTGGGACACGTGAGCTTATCCCAGGGTCTGAGCGCCCAGAAGAGGTACCCAGTCACTGCTCTTCCCCGTGAATTGACTGAAAGTTCATTGTTGTCCCCAAATCACCTCCACCTGCTTATTAACACATTCCATGACGTCAACTCTCATACACCTTAAACAAAAAGAGATTTCATAGAAAGCAATTTCTCAAAATGGATTATCAGGAAAGAAAGAGTTATGAGATTCTATCTAACATTTAGAATGGCTCACCTGGGCAACAGGAGTCTGTGTATAGGTATTCTAAGAATGACAAGAAAGTCTCTTTGGAAACACCATAAACTGGAATCAGAACACTCTTTGCTTCCATGTAATTCCCATTAAACATGGCTGCCATCACTTCACACCGGGCCACCAGGACGGCCCTGTGGGCTGGCACCGTCGTACCTATAAGGTTCGACAGGGAAACAAAGCTAAGGGAGATAAACTTGCAGAGTTATTGTCCTAGCAATTTTCCTTCTAATTAGAATGGTATTGCATTAGGCACAGCTAAGCTGATATTCAGAAACCAGATGCGCGTGTGATAACCTGTATTAAACTTTGGAGACTTTGTAGTTTCAAAATAAATTGAAAAATTAAGAGTTCAAATGTTGACTTTGAAACCAACAATTTGCAAGTCAGGCAATTATTTGTTAGTTTTTATTTCCTAAAGATAGAAACACTGAAATGCAATATTTTGCTTCATGTCTTTTTATCATGAAACATCTATTCTTTGCAATTGGCTTGAGACACCACCACCCTCCCCTGCCCATGTGTCTCACAACAAAACACAAGCAATACTCACAGTACAGTCCTGGCTGGGCTTCCCTGTATCAGAAACGGTAAACCATCCTTATTAGCCTAAGTAGTCCATAGATCACAGCACGAATGGCAAGGGAATCTCTTCTGGGGCCAAGGGGAGCATTGCAGACTTTATGGGTGATGTGGATGGGGATGACCTAGTCCCCTGCTTCCTCCCTGTCATACTACCTACACAGGGAAACTCTTTCCTAAATGAACAATGCCTGCCTGCTTGTGGGAGCGCCAGAGCGGCTTTCAATTTTTTTTTTTTTTGTGGTACGCGGGCCTCTCACTGTTATGGCCACTCCCGTTGCGGAGCACAGGCTCCGGACGCGCAGGCTCAGCGGCCACGGCTCACGGGCCCAGCCGCTCCGTGGCATGTGGGATCTTCCCGGACCGGGGCACGAACCCGTGTCCCCTGCATCGGCAGGCGGACTCTCAACCACAGCGCCACCTGGGAAGCCTGGCTTTCAATTTTAAAGGCCCCTCAGTGCACACCCCTCACTGAAGCTCATTACACTAAACTGACTCTCCAGTGAAAGCTTGCTAAGCTCTCGAGCCACCGCACCAAGGCAGTGCCCGATGGGACACATGTGGCCCAGGGCTCACAGGTGGAGAAGCAGTTCTTACCACTCCCATCACCTTAGGAAACCACGAACCCACAGTGAGCCCTCAGTTCAGTCTAGATCAGATCAACAGATCATCACCAAGCATCCACCATGTGCCAATCACCACGTTTGGTACAAAGATGAGAAACATGGAGCTACCCTGCTTTGGAGCAGCCAAGCTTTTAGTTTGGTGGAAGACACCACAGCCAGTTAAGTGACAAAACTGTGCCTTTCCAGAAAGTAACACTATGAGCCAGACCACTCTGCTCTGCCCAAGAGCCTTCACCCGGCGGCCCCTAAATCTCATACTTCTCAGGGACATATATTCTTCTCCAAAATATTTACAATTACTGTTCTTCATCCTCTTGAAATCCACGTAAAACATCTTCTGGCTCAGAAAAAGAAGAAAAAAGTTCCACGTAAACCCAGTGACTTTCTCCAAAGCCAATAATCCCTCAGGATCCATACGCAACGCCTGACAGTGCCAGTTCTGAGCTCACTGCTTGGCACTGTCACCCACACGGGCGCACCTCCCCCAGGAGGGCGCAGGAAGAAGCCACAGGAGCTCTCTTCCCAGGTCCTCACACCTATGAGCAGGCAGCCTCCCCTCTCAGCCCCTTCCCCTTCCTCTCTGCCTCTTTGCCTTTAGGTCACCTGCCCTCAAGGTTACAGTGTCCATCTCTGGGGGATAACCAGTTTCCATAACTAAAGCATGCTGTATATATTTGTACACGGCAATTAAAAAGGAATTCAGGGCTTCCCTGGTGGCGCAGTGGTTGAGAGTCGGTTCGTGCCCTGGTCCGGAAGGATCCCACATGCCGCGGAGCAGCTGGGCCCATGAGCCATGGCTGCTGAGCCTGTGCGTCTGGAGCAACGGGAGAGGCCACAGCAGTGAGAGGAGTACCGCAAAAAAAAAAAAAAAAAAAAAGGAATTCAAACAGGCGATGTTATTTGACTTGCAACTTTAGTCTTAAAATCTTAAATAGGGAACCATGAAAAAAAGAAAAAGAAAATTAGAAGTATGGCTTAAACAAACTAGATAACCTATCATTTGGATTAAGCAGAGGGATTTAAGATTGGCAAGAAAATACCTAGTAGATAGTAGTAGATGGGAACGAAGCTTGATGGGTAACCTTGAAATTTTAACAGAAATTTTCCGTTGATAATGTAGTTAAAACAGAGTTACAAAACCAGCAAGAAAACACTCAGTACCTTAAAGCATTTTCAAAGCCCATTTCAAGCTTTGAATTTAGTTTGAAAAACCATTATAACTCCAAGAAAACATCCATTTTTGTTTCTCACCTTTTCAAACTACTGTTTTGATGTTATAAATTGTTCTACTGTGAAACTGTAATACAATACCTCAGTATAGTCATATTTTTAAACATTGTATATAAACTGTATAAATGTATAGCACTGTATAAAACAGGCTGAAGGAAAATAATGCAATGATTATTTATGCAACAGCAATAGGATAGAGCTGAAGAATTACGGAAAAAGACATCAATTTTCAAGCTAAGAGATAAACATGTCCTTTCAAAATGTCAAGGCCTAAAGTAACTTTCCTTTGGAGTATTTAATTGTTGTTATTGTTTTTTAAGAATTTTTTTTAAGGAAAAGAGTTTTAAGAGTGAAACAAAATTTAAAAGCCCAAGTTTCTAGTAACTTTGCACAGATTATCAAAGATCTTTGTTTTTATTATATACTAAAATAAAACACTACATTTGTCATACCTTCTTCACACTACTTGCCAAGTTTCAAAAATGAAATTTTTAGAATCACTTTTTGTTTTATTCTGAAAACAGGAAACCTGCCTAGCTCAAGAGAGATTTAGAATATGTACTAAGTAAACAAGACAGAATATAACTCTGTAAAGTATTTTTCACAAGGCACAGATTCAAATGTCAAAAGGAAACATATCTTTCTACATCAGATCCAAAAGTTTACCATGACTAGTTTTAGAGCTGCTTTTTTTTAAAGTATTTAATGGAAAAAGATACAAACTCAAACAACAAATTGTGGGTGGTAGTTTTATACATAAACATACATGCACACATATATTTGTGTATATATATATATATATATATATTTGTATATGTATATATTTGATGACTATTTATTTCAGAGATAGTAAATAGGTTTTATATCCCATGTCAACTCCAGCCAGTTGTCAGTGATGCCTGGAACATTTTTTAAAAAG